CAATCTTAGAAAATGTCGTATATAGAGTGATTGGTGATGTGGATATTGAAAAAGATGTTAATTTTACGAACCATCAAAGAGGGGGAGAAAGTTGGACCGATTTAAAAATCCCAACTAATGTTGAAGGAACGACCCAATCGAGAAAAAATAAATTCCAAGATTTTAATGGTGGGCCGATTCCTCATAATTTTACAAACCAAGTCAATCAATCCGTTCATAAGGGAAATTGAAGTAGAAGTCATTCTAAGAAGACTGAACTCTTCAAACCCTCATACTTTCCAGATTTGGTCCTGTTGCAGCGTGAAAAATACCTGAGTGATAATCTCTTGAAATTAATGAGGTCTACACCAAAGTAATATTTTTAAAAGGGAAACATTGAAAAAATCCTTGAAGAACAAAAATAACGTCATCAAAACCAAATATAGGTTTGAGGACCGATTATGCATGGGGAAGGTATTAGAACCCCGCGACATCTATTGTAACCAACGAGAACCGCTTAATTAGTTTTGAAAGAAATATTAGCTTGAAATGTTTGGTTTATTCAAATTATTAAAATTATTTACAAGAATAAATAAGATAGGACTAAAAAAAGTTTTTATTAGGGTGTTTTACGAGATGTTGAATGTCACTCATACGTATCCTCAGGTGCGATGAGGAACTCAAAGCTATGTAGTTCTTGGTAGAAAATGTTTATTTGTTAGTTGATTTTAATTGTAAAAATGAGTTTAGTCACGCATGACCTGTAAAAAGACTCATTGATTGAAAGAAGACTTGCGCTTGGGCGATAAAAGATACTAATCGATAAAAAGGTTCGCGCTTCAGCGATAAACATTTGTTTAAGAAAAGGCTTGGTTGTGCACGAGTGAAAAATGAATTTTATGGGTTGAAGCTGTTTTTAGTTGGAAGATGAATAATCGACCATAAACAAGGTGTGCAAATTGCGTCCATTCATTTTAGGACAAACTAGATGTGCATATGATTCCCCTTTTTCATCTAAGTTTTGGTTAATGTATTTTGTAGTGGAAGACGAGTAAAAGACCTTAAATAAGGTGTAGATTGTGTCTGATTACTAGAGGACATATCAGATGTACATCTGATAGCCCCTTTTTAATCTGAGTTATATTTTAATGGAAGACAAGTAATCGACCTTAAATAAGGTGTATTCAAAAATAGTCAGACTCGAAACTTAAAACTAGAATGAAGAAAGAAGCTATATTATTTTTGAAAAAAACTAAAATACCTGGACAAAATTTGGGTGCTACAGGCCCTACAATTTTTTTAAAGAAAATAACCAACCTAGTGCCCAATTTTATCGTCTAATCACTCAGATCCTTTGAAGGATAATTTCTTAGGGGGATCAGTGTTGATAACCATGACTTTGGGCCTTTCAAGAAGAGGCATGGAAGTCAATCATGGTTCAGGGAAAGTGTGCTTTTATGATGAAGGAAAAGTTAAAAATCGTGAGAGATAGGTTAAGGAAGTGTAATGTGGAAGTATTTGGAAAAATTAATTTGGAGGAGGAGAATATAGTAGTGGAGCTTAATGAATTGATTGAATTGGAATCTCAAGATGTTCAGGTAGTATAAGGGAATCTGGCTGAAAGAAGAACGGAGGCATCTTGCAAAGTATGTCTTAACTTGCAGCTTAAGAAAAGAATGTCAAGGAAGAAATCAAGATTCAAGTGGATTAGAGAATGTGATTCTAATTCAAGGTTCTTCCATTCAGCCATGAAGAATATATTTAGAAGAAATGGTATTTTGGCTTTAAACTCTGAAGTGGGAAGATTAGAACAAGAAGGTGAATTCAAAGGCGGGATTAAAAATCACTTATAAAAGAGATTCCAAGAACCTACAACCTATAGACCTACTCTTGAGGGACTGATATTTATACATCTTAGTAACTTGGAGTTTTGGAACCTTGTTTTGTATGTCATATGCTTTTAACAAGCACAATAACTTTTGATGATGATAACTAGTGTCTTCTAACAAGTCAAGCATAAAATATTAAGTTGGTAAATATGTAAACCTAAAATTTATTTTGAACATTTTATCATATTAGGATTTGTTTTGTTTTGGTTAGAAGCTAAGCCTGTAAAAAAGATTTGGTTTGGGGATTGTATGGTCAAACCTTTGTTTAGGTTCGAAGGCTCAGCTCATGATAAAAGCTTTCTTAGGTTTTTGGTTATCCCATAGTAAAAACAAGGTTAGGTTAAAGCTTAGCCCGATATTAAAAACTTTATAAGGTTCGAGATTATCCTAATATTAAAATCTATCAGGTTATTGGTTATCCCATGGTAAAACTGAGGTTTAAGGTTCGTAAGCTCAACTCGGTGTTAAAAGTTCAAATATTTTATTAGAAGCTTGAAGACTAATTGCTCCAAGATTCTTGTGAAAAGGATACTAACCACTTTAATACACCATTTTGGAAGGAAGACTCACCGCTTCACTTTGCTATCTATTGTTTGGTTTGAAGTCAACCTCACATTCACTTTTTATTCTATAAGGGGGTTCGTGAGTACAATCAACTAAAACCTCTCAAGTTTATTGGATACTCTCAAGATTAATTCTCATGGAGAGGAGTAAGTCTTTTTCATTGTTTAACCAAACCTCTATAAATCTCGGTATTCTCTTTCTTCCCCTAACTTTTTACTTTTCGCACTTAATATTTTGCATATCTATTTTTTTGCTGATTAATATTTAAAAAAAAAGGTTCAAAATGTTTTTTCCAAAAGTTTTTAAAACCATATTTTTATGAACCACACAATTCTCCCCCCTCTTGTGTTTGAAGTCACATGTCTAACAGGAGTGTGAAATGATCGAAGATCCTTTTTGTCTTGAAGAAATCAAAGGTGCAATCTGGTTGAGTGAAAGTAACAAAAGCTCTGAGCCAGATGGTTTCAACATGGGATTCTTCAAGAAATGTTGGAACACACTTCAAGATAATCTTGTCTCATTTGTGAATGAGTTCCATGTAAGTGTTAAGGTTCTTAAATCTATAACAACTAGTTTTATTACACCGATTGTGAATGTAGATAACCTTAGGATATTAGTGATTTTCATCTAGTTTGTTTGGTCAACAATTCATTCCAAACTATAGCTAAGATTCTTTCAATTATAATAAAGGTCATGCCTCATTTTATAGATTTGTTTGGTAGAGATATCCTAGAGGATTTTTTGGTAAAATCTAGCTACCATATGATTTTTGAGACATGTAGATAGTTTGCATAAAAAATTGGATAAGTTGTGGAAACTAACAGTTCCAAGTGAGCTTCCTATATCTGGTTGGAGATTATTGTTTGATAGAGTTCCATCTAAAGTGGAACTATTTAAAAAGGAGCGTGATTAGTGGCTGACGCGATTTAATTTGTCATCTTTGCTTCGAAGAATAGAAATATGTTATTTCTCTGAAATTATGATTGACTTATATTTTGGTAAAATCAGTTTAGTAGTAACATGTTGAACAAGATGTTTTAATATTTCGTTTCAACATGTCGAGTAAGATGTCACAACAAGGAGATAAGATACCGCGTATGTAGTAAGCTGGCAGTGTGGATCAGCTGATTTATAGCTATTGAATATTCAGTTAGCTTATGTGACGTCCAAGATTGATTGTTCAGAATATTCTTTGATTGATTTTCGAAGATTTGACTAGTTTCTAGATATGGAGATTTATTAGGAAACTAATGATTGAAGACCTATTTTCTTGGAGGATATTTTGCAGACTTTGTACAGCCTCACTGCTGCAGTTTTGAAGCCCAATCCAGTCTAGAATAAAATTATAAATAGATTGATGTATATCTAGTATTAGGTAGAACTTACGTGTGTGTTTTTTTAGGATTGTAAAATCTTTATTTTGTGAGCCTCTCTAATATCATATTGATAGAAGAGTAGGACTGTTTTGTTGGTTTGTAAGTTCTCTTTTTAGATGCTCATAAGCTTTTAAACATTGAACATATTGTGTGTCAATTCTCATAAGCTTTTAAGCATTGAGTCTTGCGTGTTTTAAAAGTATAACTTCCAATTGGTTTTGTTCTCTACTCATGTTTAGAGTTTGCTCCAATTGCGGAGTGTAATTGAAGAGGGATTTGAGGAGGGCTTCATACCTAGGTGTGTCTTAGGTAGAAGTTAAGCAAATGATAGTAATTAAGCGCGTAATCTATAAACAGGAGGTTTGCTGTAAGGTTTACAAATTGATACTATCTAGTTGATTTCGTCCCTAGCTTGATAGCCTCTAGAGTAGAAAAGTTGTTCCGAACTGGGTAAATATATCATGTGTTATTTACTTTCAACACTGTTATTTTTGTCTATACATCTTACTGTTGTGTGTGAAATCGGATCCAGTATCTCGATATCTCGTAGAACATCTGAGATTTGATAGCCAAAATTTCATAATCAACTCAACACTTGTTAGTGAATTGCTCTTTTGCAAACCAGTCGCGGAAGCAAATTTATGTATGGATTGAGTTGGCTTCTTTTAGGCTTGTAGGCTCAATTGCAAAAAAACAAATTCCAATATTTCACATTTAAAGTATAATACAATAAAAAAAACATGCAAATCAATCCTAAAAAGTATGGCTTCACCCGAACTCGATAAGGAAACCTTTTATTGGAGTTTTAAAGATGTGGAAAGGTGTGATTTTCAATACCAAACTTGCAGCTTGGCCTTGGCAAGTTATAGGTTTGAATAGTAAAAGTTGGTGGAATGTTTATAATTGGAGTAAAGATCTTTTATTGTACTTAAATTTATATTAACTCTTGTCTTTTTGAGTTGAATATACTTAATACTCTATTAACTCAATTGCGTATAAAAAACACTAGACCACAAAACCAAATGATAATCTAAGACATTTTTTAAAATTTTCAATTAAATTAATTAGTTTTTATTAACGTACCTCTGCTCATTTTATATTATTTTTTATAAGAAAGTCGTATATTTAACGAGAAAGTTACACTATATATATTTCACAACAGTAGTACTGTTTGTGCATTTCAAAAAGAAAAATGTTGCTTCCGTTTTCATTTTCTAGCGCCAACCATGGTTCTACCAGGAGGTTCTCTTCCCCACTAATTCTGAATACTACGTCGTTCCATTTCTCAAGAAAAGCTCCCACTTCTTTTTCATTTCCTTACAAGTCATTCTACCCACATGCACTTCAGTCAGTGAGTGCTAGAGCTTCTTCACCACTCTTTGATGATAACAAAGACACCAAAAGGTGCATGCAACTTTTCTTCACAACCCTTCTTTAAGTTTTATTACTATTGTTTTAGAATGTGAATTACTTTTCAATTGCAAATTTGTTTGTCAAGACAAATTCTACTCTCAACCACTTAGATATGGTGCATGATATGCTCTAAATGCTAAATTATTAAAAGTTATAAACTTCTAAACTAAAGAACAAGAAAATAAAATAGATTTTTTTAACTCTAACGTCTCAATTTCTGTGGCTAAAAGAGCGTGTAATATGAGATGAAAGTAGATAATTAAAAAATATATGGGCATTATCATATAAGATAAATAAAAGAATATGTATTATTATATATAATAAATTAGAATTTAATTGATATATATTAACGAGTATAAAAAAACTTTATACTGTCATTTAATTATAACTGTTAAATTTTTATAATTTTTTTATTTTTGTTCTAATCACATTCAAAATATTGTATAAAAGTAATTGCGATATATTGTGTGTTGAAAAATTTACACTGATAATACATATCAATTAATCTCTATAAATTAAAGACGAATATGAGGTTGGATTTATTAATGAGGATATTAGTATTCATCTTAAACTCATTTTGTTTATTATATTATATATTATATTATTTAATTTTGATAATTTATATATATATATATATATATATATATATATATATATATATATATATATATATAATTTTTTGAGATTATTTTATTTTATAATTTATAATAAAATTTATATTAAAAATAAATAAATATTTTTATTAAAAAAATTTGATTTTATTAAATTATGGTAGCAGGACGAGTATTATGGGTGCTCGTGGTCCGGTTTGATTCGATTTTTGGATGACAACAAGAAAAATTCAATCAAATCCAATCCAATTTATACGGTTTACTTCGATTCGGTTGAATCGGTTTTATTCGGTTTGTAAACCAACACTATTTAAAAATTTAAAAAAAATATATTTCAATATCAGTTACAATTATGCCACCAACGTCTACTGAGACAATATCTAATTGCTATGTTCATATGGCTATTTGATGTCATTATTGCAAAGTTTCATTATAATATATGTATAATATCTATCCCAACGAAATAGACATGACTATAATATATAATATATATGGATCAGATATGCTTAGTTCTTATATGGAGATTTGTATTATAAATTAAATATATGACAAATATATAAAACAGTGAACAAATGAAGATTCCAAAGTTATATTAAAGCGAACATAATAATAAAACTTCAAGAAAAATATCAATATTAATTTGGGAGGATGACTATAAATGATTCGATATTAATTTATTTTAAATAATAAATGGCAAGTAAATGGAAGTAATACCGGTTCGGTTTGAACCGGTTTGGTTCTCATGAAGCCAACCATAAACCGAACCGAACCGGTCGGTTATGCTTCATGGTGATCCAAATACATCCAAAAAAATTCGATTTTTTTTGGATTTCGGTTTTTGAATTTTTTTTGGATCGGATTGGATCTGAACACCCCTAACGAGTATACATATCCGATCTAATCAAACTCATTTAAAATAGAATTTAAGTGAAAATAAAGATTTAAGTATAATTACCACAAAAGTCTAACCAACAAAATATATGTTGACACCATAATAGATGTTGACACCATATCTTCGTTCGGTTGTCAAGTTAAAATAATTATGAAAGAAAATTATTAATTAAATTTAACACTTGTGCACTTCCTATATTGTTTCAAATAATTTGGAAGTTTTGGTCGGCAGAGTTCACTAAAGAGCACTAATATATATTATAGAATTCAACATCTTTTGTGTGAGAGACACTATTTTCTATCTAAAATTTTAAAAAATTAGATGATTATGTGATGTGTTTTTTATAAAAATGTATAATCTTAACTTTGTATCAATGTTCCTAATAATTTTTCTAATAAATGTTATCAGAGTCTAGTTATTAGAATCTGATTCGAGAAAGTGACTATCTTAGTATCGAAATGCTCAAGAAGAAATGTTCTATTACAATGAGTCAACGACGATATAAGTGTATAAGAGAGAGCATTTTAAATTCACAGTTGAAAGGGAGTATTAAAATAATAATATAAATGTGAGTAATTAGAAAAATAATAGCCAACAAATGTTACTACTAATTGCAATCGAGCAAATGTAACGAGTAAGGAGTCAAACCCAGCAAATATTACTATTAATTGCAATCCCACGACCGCTCAGCTAACATGTCATGTGATTACTAATGGAACAAATTTAATATGTTAATTAATGTTATATTCCTATTAAGCCCAATTACAAATTTTGGGGCCTAATATTTTGGAGACTCGATGCGGTGGCTCTTTCTAGCCGGTCTTGCTTGACGCAGATTTATTTAATCTATTTTTTTAATAATTTCTTTTCACTTGCTCATTATCGTGAGATGTTCATGTAGAAATTCATAACAAAGGATATTGAAAGGTTGAGATAACAAGTAAAAATTTTAAACAGAGTAGAATAAACATAAATGTTTAGGTTTCATTGAAATATCTCAGCTTTATTGTAAAGTATTTTAATAATAAAATTAATAGTATTAAAATTTTAAAATATAGAGTATTAAACTCACCAACTGTAATACACTATAAGATATCTTCCACCACTTAGAGACCTATATTGAGAAATTACTTAATTATCTAGTTATAAGAGGAGCTAAATCTTTCATTGAAAATTTGGAGCCAAGTTTAGTCATACGATGGATTGATGAAAGAATTGAGGAGACAGCCAAAATGATCTTATCCGCATAGAGAGGAATATAAATTATATCATTATTTCGACGATAGATGAATGAGAAATTATCAGAGATATCGTGAGAGAAATCCAAGGAAGTAACATAATCACTAAATTGTTGATACCAAGCACATAGTCAGTAAATTGTTGATACCAAGCACAGCAGGACGTGCTTGTTTAAGTCTATGAAGTGACTTTTTGAAATCATATATAATTAGGATGTTGAGGATTGCAGAAACCTCATGGCTGATGCATGTAGATAGTTTAATCAAGATTACCATGCGAAAATGCGATATTCACATATAATTGTTGAAGACACTAAGATTTTGAAAAAGAAATGTTAAGTATCGTGCGAATAATGAGTGGTTTGTTTACGAGACTAAAAGTCTAACAACAATCAATACCATTTTGTTGATTGTCACCATTACCTATAAAATGAGTTTTGTATATCTCAAATGACCCATCTTATTTCTTTTTAGGCTTAAAAATCCACAAACTTTAAATAATATTAGAATTAGACAGACGATGAATTAAGTCTCACATATTATTTTCAATAAGAGTACCATATTCGTTTTTCATTGCCATTTTTAAATTATGATGATGTAATGAATGAATGAGATTGGTTGAAAATGGAAAAATAGAGTTTGGATACGAGGTATGCAGATTAAAAAGATGGTGAGCAATAAAAATTTCATTGTATGCTCAGGTGGTCATTTGAAGTGATAGAGGTGGGTGATGGAGTGAAATGATTGGGTCGATAGTTTGTGAAGACGCCAATTGTGAGGAATGTATGATATTTTGTGCATGTGATTACATTTTTTTTGGAGGTAATGGTCATATTAGTGGATATTGGGGATGAGGTATTTGTGGCTGATAGGGTAGCATTTTGAGTAAGAGAAGATTGGTTTGATGTAGTAGTGTTTTGATGAGAGTATGTTTGATCGAAGTTAAGAAATGGTGTCTCACTTATATCCAAAAATTAATAATTAGAGGTTAGAGGAGAATTTAAGGTAGAAAACATAAATATATTTTCATCAAAGTTGACATGCCTAGAAATGATTATTTTACGACTCTCTAACTTGTAACATTGATAAACTATAAGATTTGAAGGATAACCAAAAAATACACATGGAGTAGAATGAAATTGTAATTTATTTTTAGAGGTAGATGAAATGAGAGGGTAACAAAGAAACCAAAGATTTAAGGTGTGAGTATGATAAGTCATTTTGGTAGAAAATTTTAATGGAAGTTTGTAGGGAAACTTTTTTTTGGAGGTTGTTGAGGAAGTGAGTGGCCATATGCATGATGCCAAAAATGAGTTGGAAGAGAGACATGAGCTAGAAGAGTGCAAATAATATTATTGATAGTGCTAATTTTTCTTTCTAGTTTTTTGTTTTATGGAGAAGTGTGGGGACAAGAAAATCAAAATCTTCTTTCATTTAGTTCACAAAATTTATGAAATTGTACATTGTCATACTCTTTTTATTTATCTTATTGAAATAATTTAATTTTTATTTCAAATTATATTATAATATGACCACAAAACAGAAGAAAAATGAAATACACATGATATTTATTTGCAACTGAAAAAGTCCATAAAAATCGTTAAATCATCAAAGAATAAAGTATAATAGTGTGTCCACTGATAGGTCAAAAGTATACATTTACATCTTAGTAGTAAAAATAGCATCTGACTAGAGCATATCTCGGGTCAATGAACCATCTAACACCGATCCATTCGTTCAAGATCAATTAAGAAAAACTATCTTTTAAAAAATGCATAATTTTTCTCAGTTAAGTCAGAGACACTTTTGTAGCCTTGATTTAACCGTTTCGACCTTTTAGCTCGGCTATCGGTCCCCATCTTTTAGTGTATCGATTGATATCTGATGCTATCTTGACTTTGTAGAGATATATGTGAAAACCCATAGATGGTCAAACTAATTGTGTATTTTTCTCATAACAGAATTCAAACAAAAAGTTTACACGAGGTTTCTCGTTTAGACAATCATGATGATCCAAATCTATGATGAAATTTTTCACTCATAATAATAGAAAGCACATAAACAATTATAAGCATACACATTTTCCATAAAGTGAAAGACTAAGTAAATAAAGGGAAGAATTATAGAACATGTTATTGAAAATGCAGAAAATTTTTCATTCTTGAACAAATATTATGGTTTATTTGTTCATTCTTGGGTTATAGTCATGACAAATACTGAATTGGCATTGTGATTTTGCAGCATGAATAAGTTCTTGGATGTGGAACTACAGGTTCGTGAGTATGAGTTGGATCAGTATGGTGTAGTCCATAATTCTCTTTATTCTTGTTATTGCCAACAAGGTGACAACTCATGCCCTAATTATATATAGTCAATTATTATTTATTTTAGATTTAAATAGTTTTTTTTATCTCTATAATTTGACGCATTTTTTATTTTAGTTTCTGAATTTTTTTTTCTTAGAAATGATTCCTGAATGTTAAAATTCTTTTAATTTTAATCTCTAATATTAAAATCTGCAGAAAACTTCGAAGATAAATGTGTAAGAAACCTGCAAATTTTCCTGTAGATTTTCGTTTTAAAGACTAAAACTAAATGAAATTCAACATTCAAAGACTTTATCCAAAAAAAAATATAAAAACAAAAAAAAAACGTTAACTTACCGAGAACAAAAGGCTATTTAAACTTTTATTTTAATTAAAATATTGCGTGAATTTTCACTTTTATTTAATATTTTTTACTTGTTTAACAATAAAAAAAATTAGAAATTCATATTTTATATATAAACCACTTGCATATATATCATAAGCTTTTTGTTTACATACAAACAAGATAAAGATAAAAATAAAGAGCAATATGTGTATCTATAATTTGCAATTCCGGTCTCATATATTTAAATATTATTTAGTAAAAATATTGAAATCTATTACATAAAACTCTCAAATTATTTTTTTCTATCTAGATTATATTTGATGATCTAAACTTCAAATGAAGTTTGCTTTGACCAATTTGTTTTTAAGAATTTTTGGTTATAAAATTGTTTGAAAAAAAATAGATATAAAGAAACAGCAAAACACGATTATAATCCAGAGAAAATAACACAATGCATAAATTATCACAATATTTAGACTACTCTCAACTATGTCCACGACTTCAATAAATCATATGTTTTCCAACATAAATATTTAATTACATTTCAAAATACTATAACATAAAAGTTGTATATTTCTAGTTCTTAAAAATAACTCTCAAACCTTCACTTAAAGCACCTTGTCCCTACGAGTCGAAACTCAGAAGATTATGGATGATCTAACTCTGGTGTGGGCTCAGTCTATATATGATTGATATAAACATTTATGGCTAATTCAGAATATCAGGAATCTTACTTATGAGAGTCTGATTCTCAATCTGTTAAATGTGTAATCTCTTGTGTCGGAGCAGGATGTTGCTCGACACAAGGTGTGTCAAAATACCTAGTATGTATGTGTGTTGATTTAGTCTAGATAGTGTGTCGAATCAGTTGTTTCGCATACATTTGATTTAGTTTCAAAATAGGTATTGAGCTTTTATAGTTTTGGACTTTTTTGACTTTGAGAGAAAGCTAACCTAAAAGAGCTTCAAGGGATGCTTGAATCTCATGAACAACGAATGGCTAAAAGAGCTGCAGGCAAGTCGTAGAGTGGCGTGGCTTTGAAAGCAAGCAAAAGAAAGTAAAGGCAAAGTAAAGTGGTTCGAAAAAAGGTAGAGATGGATACAACAATTCGGCTGGCAGAGGAAACCAATAGGAAGGAATTGTGTCGAATCAAAGAAGACCCCATTACCAAAATAACCAAAGAAGTGGTGTTGGAGGTAGAGGAAGATGTGGTAGTCAAAAGCCTGACAAGAGTCATATTCAGTGTTACAATAGTCAGAAGTATGGTTATTATTTTAGTGATTGTTAAGAAAGAGAAAGAATCAAGAAAGTGATGCAAAATTCGCAAAGCATGAAGAAGAAGAGATGATGCTGATGGTTACAACAAAAGATGAAGAAAGATTCTAGGACCAATGGTACTTGGATTCAGGATGCTCATCACACAAGTCTGGAAGGAAATATTTATTTGTCAATCTAAAACCCTCAACGAAGAATAAGGTGAAATTTGTAAATGAAAGTACTCTAGAAGCTGAAGGTATTGGTGATGTTCTGATTACGAGGAAGGATGGCAAAAGGTTAATAATTTCCAACGTGTTGTACACAGCAGGCATGAAGAGAAACTTGCTCAACATATGACAGTTAGTCGAAAAGATTTATTAAGTGTATGTCAAAGACAAGATAATGAGAGTCGTCGATGCAAGATGAAGGTTAATCTTGAAGGCTCTAATGTCTCACAATAGAATCTTCAAGATTGAACTTGATGTCATGGAGCACAAATGCCTTGCAATTTCAGCTATCAGAGATGAGTGGATATGGAATTATCGACTTGGCCATCACAACTTCGAAGACATCAGAGATTTGAAGAGAATAAATATGGTTTCAGGATTACCAGAAATCGATATTCCAAATGAGGTGTGTGAGAAATGTGTGCAGTCGAAGCAGCATAAGAACATCTTCAGCAAGGATGCAGGAAGCAAGTCGAAGGCAATCCTTGAAGTCATATACGCTGATGTATACGAACCAATACAGGTGGATTCGATGGGAGGTAACAGATACTTTGTCACATTCATAGAAGATTTCAGTTGAAAACCGTGGACTTATCTAATCAAGAAGAAAAGTGAAGTGATCGAGGTATTTTCCAAGTTTAAATCTATGGTCGGAAGGCAAAGTGGTCGAAAGCTCATAGTTTTGAGAACTGATGGTGGTGGAGAGTATGTGTCAAAAGACTTTGATGCATTGTGTGAAAAAGAAGGGATTGTGCATGAGGTCATGCCACCCTACACTCCACAACAGAAACGAAGAATTGAACCATCATAAATATGGTGAGAAGTATGTTGAATGGCAAGCATCTACCAAAGAATTGTGGGTAGAAGTTGTGTCGACAACAACATATATTTTAAACAGATATCCGATGAAGAAGCTAGAAGAATTACTCCAGAAGAATGTTAGTCTGGTGTTAAACCTAGCTTGAGTCCTCTTAAAGTGTTTGGATCTATAGCACATAGCCATGTGCTAGATCAATTGAAAAGTAAACTTGATGATAAGTCAAGTCAGATGTTTCTAGTTGGATATAATTCGACATAAGGTTATAAGTTGTTCGACCCAGTGAACAAGCAGACTTTGACCAGCATGGACATGATCATAGATGAGCTTAAGAAATAGGATTGGACTGAAATTTTCAAGAAGGATTCAGTGAGAATCTTAATTGAAGAACCAGAAACTCAATTCAAAAGATAAGTTCAACAAGAGGAAGTTATAGATCAACCAGGTACAAGCAGGCCTCAGAGTACAAGACACATGCCTACAAGGTTGCAAGATTGTATGATTACATCAGATGATATGGTCGATGATGAAGGTGAGCTGGTACATTATGCTTTCTATGCAGATGTATAACCAGTCAATGCAGTTGAAGCATTGAAGGATTCAAAGTGGATGAAAGAAATGAATGAAGAAGTGAAGTCTATCGAAGACGACAACACCTGGTCACTTGTCAAATTTCCTCAAGGAAAAAAGGCAATCGATGTCAAGTGGATATACAAAGTCAAGTTAAATCCCAAAAGGGAAGTAACTCGACACAAGGTAAGCCTTGTGGAGAAAGAATTTCTTCAGAAGGAAGGAATTAACTTCGATGAATTATTTTCACCTATGGCTAGGATTAAAATAACCAGGTTGGTTGTTTGTCTAGCTGAAATGAACAGTTGACACATATGTCATATGGACTGAAGTATGCATTCCTGAATGGATCCTTAGTTGAAGAAGTCTACGTTGCACAACCAGTTGAGTTTGTGAAGCATGGAAAAGAAAGGAAAGTGTAAAATGCTGCATAAAGTCTTGTATGAATTAAAGCAAGCTCCAAGAGCTTGGAATAAGAAGATATATAGCTTTCTAAGGGAGAAGGAATTTGTGAAGTGCACAACTGAACATGGAGTATATGTAAGAAGAAGCAATAGTGAACTTATTATACTATGTCTCTATGTCGACGATTTGTTGATAACAGGTAGCTGGAAAAGTAAGATCGAAGACTTCAAAGATGATCTCAACAAGGAATTCAAAATGTCTGATCTGGGTGGCATTTCATATTTCCTTGGCATCGAATTCTACAAGAGAGGTAGAGGTTTTATGATGCATCAAAGAAGATTACAAGGGAAATTCTCAAAAGATTTGAGATGGAAGAATGCAACTCGACTTCGACACTTGCAGAACCAAGACTGCAGCTTTCGAAAGATGCAGAAGAAGATGATGTCGACCAAACTCAATACATAAGACTTATTGAGTCATTGAGATACATTTGTCATACAAGGTCTGACTTAGTATACAATGTAGGTATGGTAAGTATTCATGCAGAATCCAAATGTATCACACCTAGCAGCGACGAAGAGGATATTGAGGTATCTGAAAGGAACTCTTAACTATGGCATTTTGTTTCCTGCAGCTGATAAGGGAAAATAATGCAAGTTAGTTGGATACACTGATTCAAGTTGGTGTAGTGATGCTGAGGATCGAAAATCCACAGCAGGATATGTGTTCATGCTAGGTGGTGCACCAGTTACTTGGAGTTCAAGAAAAGAACAAGTAGTGACACTATCATCGTTTGAAGTGGAGTACATAGCTGCTTCTCTTTGTGTGTGTCAAGCAACATGGATGGTGAACTTAGTTGAAGAGATTACTGATAAAGATCATGGAGTAATTACCATGAAAATCGACAACATGTCAGATATCAACCTGGTGAAGAATCCGATAACACGTGGTCAAAGCAAACACATCGAGATGAGGTTCTATTATCTGCGAGAGCAGGTAGTAGAAGGAAATATGAACTTGGAACACTACGGAACCGAGAATCATATTGCAGACATCATGACAAAGGGTGTGCATTCGAAGTATTCAAAAGACTAAGAGCTATAATGAATATAGATAGCTTAGACACAATGAATTAGATGGTGTGTGAAATGTGTAATTCCTTGTGTCGAAGCATGATGTTTCTCGGCACAAGGTGTGTCGAAATACCCAGTATGTATGTGTGTTGAATTAGTCTAGATAGTGTGTCGAAGCAGTTGTTTTACACAGATTTGATTTAGTTTCAAAGTAAGTATTTTGAGCTTTTATAGTTTTGAGCTTTTTTTGCTTAGAGAGCAAGCTAACCTAAAACTTTAAATAGAGGGAGTAAACCTTATTATAGTATTCAATTTTATTCCCAGTATTTACAGTTTCAAGTGAATACAAGTTTTTCACAGTTTGTGGGCAAAGAGGAACTCTGCAGAAACCCTTATCCTTTTGTTCTTTAAATTTTTTTTTTATTTTCATCATTATTGTGTGAGTGACAACAATCTTATTCATCAAAATTGATGAAAATTCATCATAAATTTTGGTGAATTTCCAACACAATCATTATTAAATGGTAATGCCTAAATTGGATCTCCTTACAAGATGGATCAAAACCACTATATAAAGTGAAAAGCAATAAAGATAAAACACTCAAAATTCTAGTCAATGAATCAATTGCGTCTCTTAGACCTAGCACAAATAAAGTTATCAATTAATGTACTCAGCATGTATAATAGTATATGAGAAAAAAAAGAAAAATGTCAAATATAAAGTTAGAAGATTTTTGACTAATCCATTTTATAACGAAATGTTATATGATATAATATTTCTTTTTAACATATATATTTTCAATCAATACTAATAAATATATACTTTTTTACATGCATAAACTGATTATTTATATACATAATTCCTCCTAAGGTTGGAGTGACTTTATGAAAAGCATTGGTATTAATCCTAACGACGCAGTTGAAAATGGTGGTGCATGGGCAATGTTCGAACTATCTGTCAAATTCATTGCACCTCTAAGAGTAAGTCATGCTAATGTTTTGGTTGTTTTTTTTTTTTGTTAAACATGTACACATGTCTATTTATATAAATGTTCTAATATAAAAAAGGATATGACATTTTGCAATACATAGATTTATTTGTCAATATTTGTTCTCTGATTTAAGAAAACTTGCAACCAGAGTGGAGACAAATTTGTTGTAAGGGTTAGATTTTTAAGCTTTTCAGCGGCTCGTTTATGCTTCTCTTGTTCCATCTATAAGCAACCAAATCAAGAGGTTTATTTCCTTATTTAAACTTTAATATATTTACTTTTTTAACATTTTGAATATATTTCTTAAAGCTTCGTGAATTTGATGACAGCCTATTTTTGAAGCAAATGGCAAAGTGGTGTATCTTGACAAAAATTATCGTCCTAATCGTATTCCAGCAGATATAAAGTTTAAATTGGCTAAATTTATCAATGGCGAGGACTTTTAATACGTCTTATTTGTTATAAAGAATAAGATCAAAGAGATGATGATCATAAGCATGAAAACTTAATAAAAAAGAAAAAAGTGGATACATTAGAATATGTGGTGTATATTGAACATTTTATATTTATTAAGTTTTTATATTCTATGATTTAAAAGTTTTAAGTTGATCTCTTGTGGTTAATGTAAGGTTAACTTGATCCCTCTATTAACCTTGTACCTGTAAATTTATATGATAATAAAGAATATGTTTGGTAATTATATTTCTTTATATTGTTTTATCTTAGGCTTAAATAGTTTCCAATTTTTAGTGTCACGTGTCAATGATAAATTTAACAAAATATATTTTATAATTTGTAAGATTCAAATTCATGTCACTTGGTTAAAATGTTTCTTCTTTTACGACTCTTCCATCAACATCTTTTGTTCAATCGTTGTATCATAATTATAATATGAGAAAACTGGGCTTAATTAAAACTTCTATGATTTCATTCCAACATGCAACTATCTCACAAGTAGTTACAGGACCGGCCCAATCAATTTGAAAGCATAAAGAAAATTTTAAAATGGGACTCTTAAAATGTATTTTAAAATAATAATTTTGTGATTGCTAAGAGCTCAACTCAAGACTAAAAAGAAAATATGTCTAAATTTTAGCAACTCAACTATGATAATTTATGCGTTTGATGTATCATTATATTATTATAACTAAATGAAAAAATTTTGAGACCTTTTTTAAACCCAAACTTTTGAGGCTTAAAGCTCTAGCCTAAGTGGTTTGGCCCTTGGACCGGCTCTGAGAAGCTGCCACATACTTTGTTTCCATGGTGGCAGATTCATCTTTCATCTTCATGGTGGTGGAGGTGTTGTTTTCAAAACTCATACACCATATTTTTTGTTGAGTATAAGTAAGCAAACTAGCTTCAATCAATATGTGAGGGTTATTTAGTGGTCACCAGAATATATATAAAAACTAATGGAAGGTTTTGAAGGGAATCAAAAGAAGTCGATGAAGCTTTAATGGAAGTTGAGGTGAAGATTGTGAGAGAAAGAGTGAATAACATAGTTACATATTCAAACTACCAAAGATGAATATGGTTTGAAATGGTGGAGCACTAAATAAATATACATGAATACCTCATAAACAAACACGTATGTTCTCATCGATCTGGAGAAAAAAAAGGGTAAGTATGAAGGTTGGACATGAAGATATGAACACAAAACCAAAATAAGAGACTAAAAAAAAGGTTACATGGACTAATATAATAATGCGCCAACTTATAAGGATGAAAAGACTATTTAACCTAAAATTTTGGGTTTGTGTTCATATCTTAATCTCTGACCTTCATACAAACCCATAATTTTTTCAAATCCAAAATTATTCATTGTTTTCTCTTTTCTCTTTGATGTCCAGATTGCTTGTTTGAATAAAAATTATCACATGCACTATTATTCTTTGCCTAAAATGATTTCTCACCCTTCTATTAAGACCAAAGACTACCATTGTACAACAAAAATACACCACCAATTATATTAGATGATGAATCTTGCAAACTCATCTTCCATCATCAGAAACAACAACAAAATTAAATAAAACGAAGTAAAGTTACCAACTGTAGATTTGGAACAAAGTAAAGTTACCAACTAAAGATATAGCCATGGATGAAGGTGCCGAGGAAGAAGAAGAATACATATTAAAGGAGAGGAAAAAGAAGAAGTTCAAATTGCAAAATTATTTCATTTTTGGATTTAGCCCTTCTTCTTACTACATGCATCTATTATATAATATATACATATGTGTTACAATCATTATACAAGGAACACAAGTAGCTTAGTGAAGAGGCGTCCTTTCTATAAATACAAATTCCAGAACAAAATTTAACATATAAGGACTTGGATAAAAAAAAATTATGGACTAAAATAAAAAACACACCAACTTACAGGGACCAAAAGGCATTTAAGCCTTTATCTTATAACTAGTAACAAATTTGTGCATACGCCACGTTTTTGAGCGGGATATAGTTTTAGACACGCATTTGTTTGCGGACTGTTATAAAATAAAAAATTGAAGAAAGAAAAAACTTAAGAATAATAATAAATTTAAGTTAAAATAGTAATACATGTAGAACATGAAATGTAAACAACAATATTATAAATAATATGATTAAAAATAAAAACTATTGAAACTTGTATTAAATTAATCAGTCGTTTAATTTTTTTATAAATAAGGAAATTATTTTATAAGTTTTAGTTTCTTATATTATTTTATGTAATTAATAAATTGAATATTATTTATTAAATAATTATTATGTGCCACATATCAATGCATAATTGGGTAATGAATATTGAGCAAATAATTTTTTTTGAAACCAGTGGGGTTCAAACCCACACTATTTAGGAAAAAGGTGAAGCTTTTGCCATCTGTACCAGAACACAATTGTGATACTTTCATACATCAATTTATATATAACATTAAACTGAATTTACATCACATAATTTTGCATACATATATTTGGTAACATGTAATAATATTACATCTTGTTTGGTTCATTACTCTAAAAGACAGTCTTACTTGTATTTCAATGCCTCATTCAAATGCATGATCAATTATCAATGTATTTGAAATTTTTAATAAGTGTAAAAATATAAAACAATTGCTTTTTTCATCCAAATACATCACATAATTCTTTTTTCATCTTGTGCTGATAATCAAAAAACAATTTTATCTACGTGTTACGCGAATAAGTAGAGCAATCAGAGACAGTTGATTTCATACTGAAATTTGAAGTTATTGTAGTATATTACATCTAAAAATTTTAAGAGGAAATTAGAAGAATAACAATAGATCTTAATAATTCTCCCTTAGGTTTTTTCTTTAATTAGCGTATATGTCATCTTTTATCAACCTTCACTAATCCAAAATCAGAGACACGACTACGAGTAAAAAAGAATAAAATGTAAACATTTCAGAAACCGAATAAGTAATCTTATAGGAAACTTTACTTAGAATATCTGTCATCCACCGGTAGACATGACACTGATATATCATCACATGAATTAATGTGTTTCCGCAGATTTGAGATCAGTTGACATGTGAAACATTTACATTGAAAGTGAAACATAAAAAGTGAATCAAATTTAATAGCTAATAATACCAACCTTCACAAGTTCCATGTAATCCATTCGATAAAGCTGATCACCATAAAATTTCAGAATGTTCTCTATGTTTTTATGCTCGACATCCTAAACTCAAGTTCCAAAAGTTTATTTAGTTTTCTAATTGACGAAAATAATATCCTTCCAAACCTACAATATTATGAACATGGAAACTAACTATGTCATACTTCAAACAACCAAAGAAACTGTCTTACAACATTAGTCGTACCCTAAAACCACTTATTTCCTTATTCACATAGTGTTTCAGTTGTTGCCAATACCTATTTTTTTACCCCAAAATTTTTTCTCCTATTTTCAAGACAAATTAATTCAAGACACTCCCTCAGACTCATAGAAGTTTCAATTCCTCAAGGACACTCAAGGAATTGATCAGACGAGTCCTCCTCCTAAGAAATTCACCTACGGCTAGGGTTTTGTTTTTCTCAAAGGAAATTGGGATTATAATTCCTAAAGTGGGTTTCATAGTTCCCCATATGCTTCAAATAATCCTCATGGCAGGTTTCAGGCCTTGCTTCACAAGTTTACTTAATCAATTGCTCATATGAGTGAAAATCAGTTGTACTGGGTAAAAAGTCAACATTGATCAATCTAGAGTAAAACTTCAATATTTTTGGTCAACATAAATATTTTGAAGTCACATCCATCATTGAACCGTATGATTGCAGTCTTTGTCCTCCAAATTGCTACATCCTCGGAATTTGGTTCATGGCCCATACCCAAATATGATCTCCAGACAAACTGCAGATAAAATTAAATCAAGTTAATGAAAACGTAATATATAAATAATTTAAAAGTAGAAAAGTTGAAAGGTACGACGTACATCATCCGGGACAAGGTGATTCAATAGATTGCGATATAGTGCGACATTGAATCTTGGATTCTTGTCGTAATCCATACTCCTCACGCAATACCTAAAGGAAATGAAAAATATTTTATTTTTATCATATATTTGGTGAAGAGATGAATAGTAATAAATGATATAACTTGATGACTTACTTTGTTGCGTATGAGAAAACGAATGTGTTGTTGATGACGGGGTTTAGGGACTCCATCCTCCACCAACCCTAGGCTTGAAGTAAAAAAGCACAGCCATAAAATGTATATTTTTCCTTGATTGCATTTTTACACAAGGAACTGTATAGGTGGGCTAAAACAGCAGAATCCCAACTATACTTTCTAGTTTTTTCAAAGTCTCTAAGTAAATTTAAATACATAAAATTTACACTATTTCCCGTACTTTCGGGAAATAAAAAGGTTCCAAACAGTATCATTATATAAGTTCTAGCTTTTATTACCTTGGCTAGCTCAGAGGAATTTTCGTTTAATTTCAGAGTCGCATAATGATTTTTTAGCTTAGTTAGTAGTATACTCTGACCTCTCACACCACCACCGTCAACCATATCCCTGTCCAACAATTCTTCACACAGAGAATTGGGTTGTTGAACCGACCCGTTAACGGCCTTACCGTCGACAAGGAGACCCAATAACATGTACATGTTCTCTAGCGTGACGGTACATTCACCTATTGGTAGGTGAAATGTATGGGTCTCTGGTCTCCACCTTTCCAACATTGCAAGTATGAACTTTGAATCAATTGTGCAGTTGGAGATCTTTATAACGTTTCCAAAATCTACGTATTCCAGATATGGTACGATCAATGGATCTGGAGCAAGGTAGTTGTGTGATCGACTCTGAATCTTTTGGTATCCTAAGTTAATAATGTAAAAGGTGTAAGAGTAAGTAAGATGAACAAAGCATTACTAGAAGTATGAAAAGTGTATAAATATAAAAGAAACTTACAAATACTGCAATGTTGTCCCTTGCGCCTCT